GCAGGCGGGGGAGGAGCGCGAGCCGCGACACTAGCCTTCTGTGCCCATCTCTGATCCTTAAACCGAGACGGGCCAGGAACCCTGGGTTGTTCGGGCTCAGGAGAAAGCCCCTTTCAGCAGGTCAGCCTGATATGCCTGGAGCACCACCATAGTGTGCAATGAAGCGACAGTCCGACCTGCTGCTGCTGCGTATGCCCTGCCATTCAAGCGAGATGTATCCTGAAGTGGCTTAGATGGCAAGGAGGGAGCGCCTATTTATACTATAGTCGCACCGGTAGTGACACCAACGTGTTGTTGGTGTTTTCAATGTATGCTTCAGACACGGGTCACGACGGGGCGTTCCCCATAGCGACCCCTAGAGGACGCAGTTCGAAGTTCCCTTGAAAGGGAACCAGCTGACTTTCTGGCAGCATCGTTTAGCACCTATAATGGCCAAAAATACTCAGCGCGTCTAAAGGTTACCAAGTTATGCTCTCGAGGTAGGCAGTTCACTAGGTTCTGAGACAGCCTATGAAACTTAAAGAGCATCTGTTGGGCTGTAGTTTCACGTGTATTGAGAAGGGAATACCCCATACTCTTCCGTTAGTTGGTAGGCTGCGTGAGTAAGAGTAGCAGACTGTCATAGGAGGCGACAATGCGCAAGTGCTCGGCTGCATTTTACATTACTCTAGGTATGTGTTTTAGCTGTGTTTTTAAACAAGTATTTAAACAGAAGTATTGCATAGTATTGCATTTCATTCATGTGGTTGCTGAAGTGAATTTCAATAGTTTCAGGTTTCGTATCTCTCTGGACAACTGAAGCGTCAACAGGTCAGTACAGCGGGCAGTGTCTGTCCTGTGTGTGTGTGTTTACCTGTAAACAATAAACAAGTTTTAGAAACAAGTAATAAACAAGTTTTCAAGATTTTTGAAAAATAAAACAAAGACATGTTTTCACATAAAATAAAGACATATTAAAGACTCTGCAGTGTTTCTAGGTCAACTCTTTGTACAAAACATCTTTGTATACATTTTTACTTGTTTCTATTTAAGCACAAGATGCTCTTTAGAGCTTTCTCAAATCATGCTGGATTACACAAACCTGTGGAGTTCACAACATTTTTTTAACATTATTGTTTTTTTGTGTGTGTGTTTTTTTTTTTTATAAACAAGAGAATAAATTACAATTTGTGGAACATAATTTCTCCTTTTGCAGACGCTTATAGTCATTGTTTAGAAGATAATCAAAAATCTCTTAACACAGCTTATCATTGTAACTTTACAGGATCCTGTAACTGCGGACGTGACAATTTGAACTTATTGAAAAATAAATGTAACAACACAGAAGGTAAGAATTTAATATTTCCACCAATGATGTAAGCTATGTATTTTTATCCAGTAAATTGGAGTAAAATAGACTAGCCTGCTTAGTGTAACATGAATGAATAAGTCACCTTTATTTATATAGCGCTTTTAATAACCTTAATTATACTTTATTTGCATTAGGAATAACTTACATTGACACATCAAAAGGTTTTAAATAGCCACTAAATTGTTGGAGAAAGTTCTGTGCTTATGAAAATGTGTCAAGACAAATGTCCTATAGCCCCTTTTCCAATTAAACATATTCAGTTATTGTTTGAGAGAGGCACTGTTCAAGTTGCCCTTTAAGCTATTACTGCTTTCTGACAAATAGGGCAGTTGAGTGGAGAGTATAAGGACAGTGGATTTAGTTTCTGACATGACCAACCCAAGTTTGAATCTTCCTTTTTCCCATTCTATTCTTCTCCCTTTTCCTATATGTATAAGCAATCCCACATTTTTTTGGTTGATTAGCTAAGTAGATTAGATGAACTATTATATGATGTAAAATATAAACTAACCCTTAACCTTCTTGACTATTTAACAATTAACAGTTAATGGCTAGAAAATAAAATGGTTTACACCTCACGAATTGGACAAACACTTTGTTTACATTTCATTTTAAGACCTCCCAAGTCCTATTTTGTACTGTATTTGTGGCAAGTGGCATTTTTTTGTTTATATTATCAGTGGATATTTCTCATTTCACAGGAGTCTATGATTTGGCATGCTATATAAAATATAAGAAATCTCTTGTGTCCGTCTGCGAATGGAAAGGAGACATAACAACCTCATACACACTGTACACACAACAGTAAGTTTCTGTAGGAAGTGAGAAATGTGATGATTTCAGCTTTATTCTCTTTGCAGTCTGGCTGAGTTTCACACCATTGCTATTGTTTGATTGTTATCGCTTACTTATATATAAAATTTGATAACTGAAAACTCTATTAAACAATCCACACTCTTTGTTTGCTGTGTAGGAGGAGATGTAGTTGTGTAAATGTACATCAGAAGAGCGGAATTTGGACTTCTGATTACTTTAACGTTATCTCAAATTGGAATGTGACAGCTCACGTTATTGCAAGCAGTGGATATCCGCACTGGTGCACCTACAAAAATTTCAGTGGAATTCCATCCAAGATTAGTATGTTAATCAACAATATTAGTATTCATAACTTTCAATTTATTAATATTTTAACTGTTTCTAACCCCTGACCTTAATCTAAATATACTGATTTAAATAGCATTTTCCAGAAATAGTTACTAGTTCTAGTATTAATAGAAGCTGCTTCAAAATTATTTTACCAGACAAAAATTTCTGCAGGTTAGTATGTGATTCTGCTTTGGATTGTTTAATGTTTTCTTTCTTTGCAGCAATGTGTGGACCTTATTCAAAACTAACTTACAAAAGAAGCTCAGGCCATCTGACTGTGCAGGTGGAGTGGGGAGATGAAAGTAAATATATTAAAAACTTCTTTGTAGAGTACAAAGAGTTCAACACTACAAGCTGGAAAGAGGTCAGTAACAACAACCCAGAAGTTTAAGAGTACAGTATATGAGGCTCCGTTATACAATAATTATGTCTCCTTGTTCTTATTCTGCATATGCACATATGTAAAATAGGGTGAAACGTCATAACTCTTTTGTTCAACTTTGTTATTTAAAGTCGGGACAGAAATTAATTGTTTAAATAAGGCACAGTATTCACCCTATGGAATTGATTTTCAGGGGCATTTATTATTTAATTCATAACCAAATAACGCTAATAGCGCATTGTGACATTAATTTGTGAACTTGATTAGCATACTTGAAATAAATTCTCATATTTTCAAGTTAAATTCTCATAAATAATAATGGCTAATTCTTATAAAATAAAATAGAAAATTACAAAAGTGTCGCTAGCACACATGTTAAATAATTTGCCCATCCCCAACCTGTCAGATGAGTACAAAAGGGTGTCTTTTTATTCTTTCTAATCCCTGATTAAGTTCTCTATAAAGTAATAGAGTGTGGATCATTGTAGATTTGAGAAAGCACCCTATACTAGGGTGTGGTGACCAAGTACAACATGTTCCTGGAACAACATTCCAATTAACCAATCAGAATTGAGGGATAACTTTTCAGGAACTGTCTGTTTTAGGCTTACGATCAGGGTTAGGTGATTCTACACCCTTGTTAATCAGCTATCATTTCACACTGATTTTAGGAATAAATTATGGGTAGGGTTAGGTTTAGGGGTAGGGATTGGGTTTAGTCTATATTTTTGGACAGTAATGTTGATCCAGGATCAACAAAAGATGTTGATCCAGGAACATGTCTTACTTGGCAAAATCACGGCGACCACTAGGGTGTGGTGTGACTTTGTGGTTAAAGATCTGGGGCCTCATATATAAACCTTTGTGAGGGTTTAAACCCCAAAAGTATGTGTTAGAACAAACTATACAATAGGAGTAGCTTATAACTGTATAACCCCTTTTCAGTCAGTTACGTAAGAATAATTATACATGGATGAATTAAAGCTAGTAATGGGAATTCCAGCTCTTTTTAGGGATCCGGATAATTTGGCTCAGCTCAGCAGAAAGAACAGGCTCTTTTGGCTCCCAAATGGCTCTTTATTTAGTACCACTTCTAGTTTTTAATTCAGCCACTGGTATGTGTGCATAAATATAATTAAATTATTCAAAGTAATTATACTAAAACATTAAAAATATAAAATTCAAAAATATAAAATGCCACGTAATATTCAGTTTTGTTAAATTACACTATAATTCAGATTTACACAATTTAAATTAAATTGTTTTGTCATATTTCTGGCTCCATAAGCCTTTCCAAAATACCATAATTTTACATTATTTTTGGTATACAAACCAAAAACCTATTTTATGTAAAAGCATAAAACACTATGATTACAGAACGTTATTACCCAGATTGCACAGGTACGTCTCTACGATGTCTGCTAAAGAGTGCTTGATCTGGGAAACATCTGCTGTGTAAAAACATCCTATAAACGTCTTAGAAAAAGCAGATTTACATACATTCTAAAACATAAACATCTTCAAGACATCTGATAGCAAACATCTTAGAGACATATTGCAAAAACTCTAGTCTAAAACATACATCTTGCAGATGTTAATGCAGACATTAAATAGATGTGATGTATCAGGGTGTGTGCTCTCAGGGTGAATTATCCAAAACAGAAACTAATATAAACAAATCATACTCAAAATATAACATGATGTGACATATAACAGAAAAAAAAACTAAATTACAATGTGCAAAAACACAGTTGTATTATTATACCCTGAAACATTGTCACATTGTGCACGTGTGTTGAGTCTGTTGATGTGTATGTGCGTGTGACCAATCGTGAGCGAGAATCATCACATACACTTCAAAGAAAAATAGGTTAGTACATGAAGCGTGTGCAGCTAACAAGCAGTCATCCAATTATTTTGTAAGGTGGCTGAGAGAGCTCAACTTCACTTCAGAAAATATGCAAATAGAAAAAGCACCAGAAAATTAAGAAAACATTTTAATGAGTTTGACAGCATATGTGCTGCAAATACTCGCAACACAACCAAATACAAAGCATGCTGCAAATTCTCACAGTACAACCAAATACAGAAACGTGCAAGTAGCACAGACCACAACTAAATTACCTCAACAAAATAAAATTAAACATGTTTTTTTTTTTTTTTTTGGCGTATTGATTACCATTTGCATAACCACAGTTACCATGGTTAAACTGGTTAGTGTAGTAAATCCATGGCTAATTTGTGTATGGTTACCATGGTTTAACTATAGTAACCATTTTTTTTTATATATAATAAATGTAAGTCAGCACTGGCAGGGAGTCTCAGTCACCACTGTCACCCCAGTCACCACAGTCATCAGCCCCAGCGCACACCAGATCCCAATCACCAGAGCGCTGATTGCCTGCACCTGCCTCAGCTCGTTAAGCTCCCTATATCACTGCACTCTCCACACTGCCTCATTGTCTGATCTACAGTTTGCATGACCGAAATAAGCCTGACTCCTTAACTAGCTACTTACCTGTTTACGCACCCTTAGATGTGCCTTTGCTCCACCGCTCCTTTGGATAACCTGCAAGAGACAATCATCTGTTCTCATCAACTAAGAGACCTGAAACCTTTACATCTGCATATTACTCACCTTCTGATCGTTGCTTCTCATTGCCACAGCCCGTCTGTCAATAAAACTGCTGTTTTGCATACTTATCTCTTTGTTTCTGGCCTGTTTGCTGACAGAAGTCCAGATCAACAATTATGAATTGGGCTGAGGACCAGCTGTGGTGTCTGTGGCAGGGAGGTATGTGGAAGAATTCCTCGAGCTGTCTTACCCGGTGAGCTGGCACGATGCTGTACTCGGTGCTTGTTTTCAGTTGGGTCTGGATGAGGAAACAATCCGTTGTGATCTACCTACGTGTGGTTTTCCCTTGGTCGTATTGATTAATCTCATCCTTTATTTGAATGGTTCTACTGTTGAGGTAGAAGTTAAAAAGAATGAGAATCATCCTCATCCAGTCCCCTCTGAAACACAACTTGCCTCTCCAGCTCATCCCTTGCTGGGACCTTCCACATTCCTAACCAATGGCTCCAATCACACATTACCTCCCATTTTCCCCCGAGCTCGTAGATGGATATCAAACAGTTCTGACCTGGGGGCCAAGATGGTAGACCCCGCATACCAGTCTGTCCGGTCCGCGCTCCAGTCAAGTTGCCGGCCGTTCCACTGTCAAGCCCGCCGGGCACTCCACTGTCAAGCCCACCAGCCGATTCACTCCCAAGCCCTATGATGACAGCAGCTATCTCCTTAACCTCAGCCCAAAAAAGGAGAATGAGGAGGAAAAGACTGTTGGCCCTGGCCCCTGACCAGAGTCGAGAGATGGCCCTGGCCCCTGACCAGAGTCGAGAGATGGCTCTGGCCCCAGAATGCTCTCCAGAGTCCAACAGGGAGCCCACTCACGTCACCGAGCTCAAGGCATCCAACCCTCCTTCGTCTCCACTGGTCCCATCCAGCTCTACTGCATATCCTGAGTCCAGCCCAGAGAGGGCTCCTGTTCCCACGTCACGCCCTGAGAGGGCTTCCGTCACTGAGTTTGGCCAAGAGTGGGCTCCCGTTCCTGAATCTGACCCAGAGAGGGCTCACGTTCCCCGGGTTTGGCCCAGAGGAGGCTTCAATCCCCGAATATAACCCAGAGAGGGCTCCGGTTCCCGTATGCAGCCCAGAGGGGGGAGCTGTCCCCAAGACCAGCCCAGAGAGAGAGATTCAGTTCCCGAATGCAGCCCAGAGAGGGATTCAGTTCCTGAATGCAGCCCAGAGAAGGTCCCCATTCCCGAGTACTGCCCTGAGTGGGCTTCCATCTCCAGGTCCAGTTCAGAGCCAAAGGGAGCTACTATCTCAGCACCGTCCTCACCTCTTCGATCATCTGCCTGCCTCCCTACCAGCGCTTCTTTGACTCCTTGCCCTCCTCCTGAACCCCCACCCTCGGTTGGCACATCTACGGCGCGAGGTCACACCTTCCGGGAGGGGGGAGTAATGTCAGCACTGGCAGGGAGTCTGTCACCCCAGTCATCAGCCCCAGCGCACACCAGATCCCCATCACCAGAGCATTGATTGCCCGCACCTGCCTCAGCTCGTTAAGCTCCCTATATCACTGCACTCTCCACACTGCCTCATCGTCTGGTCTACAGTTTGCATTACCGAACTAAGCCTGACTCCTTACCTTGCTACTTGCCTGTGTTTATTCAACCTTAGATGCTCCTTCGCTCCACTGCTCCCATTCTCCACCGCTCCTTCGCCCCTCTGGATCACCTGCAAGAGACAATCATATGTTACCATCAGCTAAGAGACCTGAAACCTTTACATCTGCATATAACTCTCCTTCTGATCGTTGCTTCTCATTGCCACAGCCCGTCTGTCAATAAAACTGCCGTTTTGCATATTTTCCTCTGTTTCTAGCCTGTTTGCTGACAATGAATTAATTTTAGGCTATATGGTTAATTTTTCTAAGGGAAGTTGTAAAAGTTAGCCATCTTACATAACCTTTCACACAGTAATTGTATTTCGTCAGCTAATAATATAAAAACAAATGCTAAGGAATCATATGATTTGGATCTTAAACCAAAATCTCACCTTTCAGAACAATCATTGATAAACGTCTCAGCAATGTCTGAGTATTTGCAGCACATTTCTGTCTTTATTTGGTTGTGTTGTGAGCATTTGTAGAGCGTGTGTTGTCAAATTGATGATGTTTTCTGAATTTGCAGTTGTTTTTTTTCATTTGCAGCGCGTTGAGCTCTCTAGGCCACCGTAATTTTCTCTTGTATTAAGAAAGTAAAAAAATAAAACGCTGAGAGCCGTGTTAGAAAACGGCTCTCAAATGGGAGCCGACTCATATCGTTCACTTAAAGGAGCCGGCTCATTTGCAAACGACACCTCACTAATGAAGTCTGGTCTGAACTTGTATCTAGTTCCATCCATGAGCTACATTTTTTATATGTTTTTAAACTACACTCATGACCTACTACAGGGATTGGCAACTCTGGTCCTGTGGAGGGCCACCCTCCTGCAGAGTTTAGCTCCATCCCTTATCAAACATACCTTAAAAATCGAACCTTTTGAATCTTAAGAATTGCTTAAATTATAGGCAGGTGTGTTTGTTTAGGGATGGAACTAAACTCTGCAGGACCGCAGGCCTCCAGGACTAGAGATGCCAAACCCTGACCTCCTACATTTGCCAGATTTTGCAGTATATACTCACAGAAAAAACTATTGTCACTGGGGCTGTACCTTTTCAAAAATCTCTGTACTTTATTAACCCTAAAAGGTGCATATTTGTCCCTTAAACGTACACATTAGTACCTTAAGTGTACATATTAGTACCTAAATGGTATGTATAGCGACTCTTTAAATGCTTCCACCCCAAGTGACAACTTTTGTACCTTTTTTTCTGACAGTGTACAATTATAGCACACTTAGTGGCATACCCATGATGTAATGTGCTTAACTTCCATTTTAAGAGTGGCCATTGAGATGGAAATAATACAAATTTTAACATCTCTCATGACTTATTATTGGAGACTACCGAAGACTGTTTCATGTTGTCGTCTTGTTTTTAAGAAAAAAGTATGCAGTATGTTTATTACTTGGTCACTGGAGTTGCACAATTAGGCTGAAAGGTCTTTAAGCTCTTAAGCTAAAAGTTATTGCACAGCCCAAATGCCACCGTTGTGTGCCTGTGTAGACTACTTGACAGTATCAAGTTCTGTAGAATGTTACAGTGTGGTATAACACACTGGAGTTGAGTAGAATGCAAGTCAGCTGATAATATGGACGGTTTGGTACAGAAGAGAGTAGTGGTGTAGTGGGCTACCACAGTGTGAAAAAAACAAGGGTGAAGTACAGTATAGTTAAGAATAGATTTTATCTGTCATTTTATCTTTCAGTCTGAAAAAAACTTTTAAACCTTCAAACTTTTTACACCTTTTCAAAATTTTCTTTCAAGCTCACTAAGTTTGTCTTGACTAACTTTACTTGTCTAGTAGTAAAAATGTAGGACTTGCAGTAGGGCTGTGCAATTAATCGCACATGCGCATTATTGTCATGCGCATCTCGTCAGTAAAGCCGGTTCCGTGATTAGTAGTAAATCTCCATCACCTGCTTTCAGATGGAGCGGCATTTACTACACAGAGCCGTAGTTCACTGACAATTAGGCAATATCGCGTTCATAATCAAATGCGATTCATCTGCGATTATGAACGCGATATTGCCTAGCTTGTCAGTGAACTACGGCTCTGTGTAGTAAATGCCGCTCCATCTGAAAGCAGGTGATGGCGATTTACTACCAATCATGGAACCGGCTTTACTGATGAGATGCGCATGACAATCACATTAATTGCACAGCCCTAACTTGCAGTAAAGTTTGCCAAAGGTCAATTTCCTGATGTGAATTGACTTGCTTGTTCCACCTAATTTTCTCTTCTTGTCCTCCACAGCAACAGTCTAAAAACAACAAAGAATGTGTTTTGTGGAATCTGACATCATCTCTGCCTTACGAGCTGCGAATACGTTGTGATCCCACCGAAGAGTGTGTGCAGTGTCCTCGTAGTGAGGTCATCGTGGTTCCACCGGGTGAGTTGAGCACAGAGTGTGTGTATTGACCGATCTCTGTATTTTCTTGAAATGTGTCATTTCTGTGTCACGAAACAGTATAAGTTACAAACACTCCCTCATCTTCCATTGTTTGATCACACAGGTAGAATCGCACTAAACTCATGGCACTGGTAGAGCCAATGATGTTCCCAGTCACTCCGCTCAGACAAACAAGTCCATTTTGTGGTGCTGGTGGCAGAAAAATCACACACTTTATCTTTAATATTTAATTGACCATTGTATTTTCAAAAATTTCATTCCCCAGAACTCACAGATGCACCATCAATCCAGCTGGAGATTCAAGACCATATACAAAATTGTTTTATATCACCAGGACAGAGAAAAGCAGTTGTGAAGTGGGAGGTACTAACACATGTCATTTCCCAGGGCCATCTGTGGTGTTTTCTGTGGTTGAACTAATGAGATCCAATGCGAATCCACTTTCAAATAAGATCCTACTGGATAACCAAAAATTCTAGTTGGATCTTATTTGATTCTTAGAGAATTCTTATTCCCATTTGGATCCTGGTGTGTTACCAATACTTTTTTTTTTTCATTAATGAAAAACTACACAAGTAACACAGTATTAACATTCTAGTAACTACTATAAACTATTAGCACTCATTTGAATGTAGTAGTTCACTATTAGCTAATCAAAAATTACTATTTTTCATACCTCCCAGAAAACTGCTAAAAAACTATATTATAAATGTTTCATTATGAATGTAAGTAATGCAGAATTATTTTTAAAGTCACGAATTGACAATCGTGGTAATTACACAAATATTAACCTTCAGATGTAATTACTAATAATTTTGTACAGTATTATAAAGTAAAATACATGATAGCTCCCTAGTAATGGCTGAAGTTCTTGTAACCTTTTGAGGTTTTTGTAAGGTTTTGGATAGTCTCAGCCTCAGACATCATGCCCACGGACCGTTGGCTGTGAACGTCTGATGCATATCACACACAAAATTGGAAACACTTCAGGAGTTTCAAAGTCGTCATCAGATTGGTTGAATTATGTAGGATTTCCGGGAGATGTGTGTGTCGTATTCTTTAACGTTGCACCTGGAAACAAAAATTATGTGTTGCCAAACCTCGCGGAAGAAGAAAGCCATCGTTTTTACAACTGTGAAAATGAACGCTTATCAGGATCAACTAAATGCTGGATTTTTCAAAAGTATGTGAAATATTTAAAGTTTGCGGCATACTCTTTAAAATACATCCAAGAGTTTTACACACCAGTCTGTTATTGTGGGGACATTTCCATGCCCCTAAACATGATTTGACACAAAATGAAACGTGATTGGTTGACTTACCTGTCAGTTATGTGGCCTCATTCAAAGTGGCCAAGCTTCCCAGACCTTCTTCTGTCAGTCTGAAGGTCTGGCTACACAAGACTAGGTTTTGGATAGCAATTCCTTTTGAAGGATTTGGTAACACTTGAGTCATTACTAGCAGGCTACCATCATTCTCACAGTAGTTACTAAGGAAAATCTAATCCTAAAGTATAGAATTTTCTAACCATTCACAATAATAAAAACACGGAAGTAGGAGACATAAAAAGAATCATATCTTTATGTGAGGTACATTAAATTTGTCACAGGCATTTGGGGTGTGGCTAATGACTTGAAAGGTTCCAACAGTCTTTTTTTTTTTTTTCAGTGATTCGGTGAGAAGAGTGGACCTATAGCTATCTTTTCTTTAAGTAGCCTAGTAAAGACAATTTGCAAAAAAATGACGACAGATAAGGGTGAAGTTCTGAGGAATGACTGGACACAGTAGCAAGGTCCCGGAAACTAAAATCCATTTCTTTAGAATGATCAATCTTTAGTAAATGGTTCTCCAAGAGGACTCATATAATGTACTAATTATTAACAGTTTAACCAAATCTGCAACACCTTTATGATAATGGGTGGTTACATATTAAAGTAGTGGTTAAAATGTTATTTATTGACTAGTTTCACATGATATATAATAAAACTGTGTATAGTTTTTTTTAAATATAGTTTTTCTGGGAGGTATGAAAAAAAAAACTTACTAAGCAGCTAGTAGTTGTTGCTTTTTTGTTCCAGGAGAAAGAGCAGTAGAGGCAAGGATCTATTTACAAGCTATTTATTTTAATAAACAATCCAGCGAGATGCAGAAGAGAATAATCCAACTCAGGGATGCAACAGCTTCACATATTGCATGTAAAGACAACAACAACAAAGACTACTGAAACACAGGGGTTTATATACATAGGATAACAAAGAGCTAAACAAGGCACAGGTGAGGGTAATTAGTACTGTAACTGTGGAAACAAACTACTAACTGGAACAAAGGAAGGGAATTACAAACCAAAAGTCCAGGCTAAGGAAAACTAAACTGAACAGAAGCGTGACAGTAGTGAATTACTAGTTAATATTAGTTACTATAATGTTCACATTGCATTACTCATTTGTTCCTGTGTAGTTGTTCATTAATAAAGGAACAGTGTTCCTAATACTACGTTCCTAATACTATTATGATCGGTTCCCAGTATGCAAACTGTGAAGCTGTGGCTTACTACAATGTGACAGTGAGGAAAGTATCTGGGGAACCCAGCAATCAGGACAGTTTCAGAACTGAAGATTCATCGCTCACCCTGATCCTGTCTTACTCTGCATACAACATCAGTATCAGAGCTGTAAACACTGCTGGATCGTCTCCTGCTTCCAGTATAGCCACTGAGCAAATGGATGAATGGAGAGGTACATTACTTTTATATTTTCTTGAATGCTGTACATGCAGACTCTGGTTAGCCTTATGTCCAAAAAGTAAACATATTGTATATGAACTTTGGGTGAGAAAATGTGACATGTTGCTGTTTGTAAATGCTGTGTATTATTTAAATTTTTTAGATTCGTTTGGGCCATTCAGTGTCAACATAACCAGCAACAACAATTTTAGTCTGTCCTGGAACAGTTCCATCTCAAGTGTTTGTTACTCTGTGGAGTGGTGGGCCAAAGGACAGATACCAACTTTTTGTCCATTCTACGAAAAGCAGACGCACAAAGAAATAACTGGGAAAACTGACAGCTGTAGGGGGAAAGGACGTGACGTGTGGCCAAGTATGGTGACCCATACTCAGAATTTATCAAGTTACTCACCTCAGTCATGTTATTCACTCCCCCCACCGACAATCCCTGCCAGACCTGAGACTCGAACCCACAACCTTCGGGTTACAAGTCCGACTCTCTAACCATTAGGCCACAACTGCGCCAAAATGATTAAAAAGCCTAGTATAAAAGAAAAAGTTATATGAAATCTTTGTTTTTATGATGTAATCATATTTCTAGTATTGTTTAAAATATTGATTTTAATAACTAAAAATTCGGTGTAAATATCTTGTGAAAAGTAAAAAAAAAAAAATATTTTCATTACACACTGAATACATGTGTGTTTATTTTTAATCATAATTTTTATTTTATTTTATTGTTATTTTTAGAATAAATTCTTAGGTCTAGAGACAAATAAATAATGTTTTCTATCAGCATAGTAGACGCTTTTGTATAAATTTTACCTTAATTGTAGACAATGATAATTAACAGCTTTATTTATTCACAGCATTCAGATAGTGTTCAGTAATGTTCAACTTTTTTGTCTGATGCAGTTTTTCAGCCATATACAAGATATTATTTTGTCCTGCACACCAGACCGTACCCAGACACCTGCAACATGAAGAATGTAAACAACAGTGAGACGACCTATGGCACAGCCCAAGTTTACTTCACTGAAGGAAGTGAGTCTAAATATTCATATATGATAAAACTACTAATATATGCTAAATAGAACAGCTAAGATGTTCAGGCAGATATACTCTATACTGGTGCTGATACATTCACAGAAAAAAAGTGCAAAAATTATTTTAGGGGTTCCTGTTGTACTTTTAGGGGTAGAGCTTGTCACTTGAGCAGTACCCTCAAAGACACCCCCAGGATATGTGAGATATATATATATATATATATATATCCTGAACTCTGCCAGAGAAAAATGTGCTATTGTGTGAGGTAAAAAATAAAGGCTAAACACTGAAAATGTACAGTATTTACAGTCAAATTATCTACAATTATAACTGCTCTGTAGTTTCCTGGTAATAGTTACAGCAGCAGATAAGAAGAATCTAGATATCCGCTGCATCATTGTGTCTGAATGAGCTGAACTCTTTGGGATTTTAGGTCCTACCAGTGCTCCTGGGAATGTGAGCATTTTGAATATTACCCAGCATTCCTCAGTAATCACATGGTGCCCCATGTCTGAGGAAGACCTGCGTGGATTCTTATTAGGCTACTACATCTACTTGACATGGGACAATAATGAAACATGTGAGTAGTAGTCAATCATAAGTTTATTATGTGTAAGTTTATAAATGTTTTATTTTAAAGTTATTTAATATTTAGGTACATTACTAGTAGATTTTAAATTACCATTAGAAAGTGTGTGTTTTTTAATATACTATGCCTTAAACTTGTGTCTGATTTTTAACACTGTTTCTAAAAAAAAAAAAAAAAAAAAAAAAAAAAATCTAAAAAAAAAAAAAAAATTCAAATATTTGGGGGAAAGAACAATAGAGAGTTTTTTTTATCTGACTTTTCGCTCTCAAAAAATTGGGAAAAGAAATGGTCAAAAAATGTGTAGATCCTTTCCAAAACACATACGTGTTGAAACTTTGCATGCACATTCATGACCCTAAATCAGAAAAAAACACTAGATTTTAGGAAGAAATAAAGTGTTTAACCAGTGTTTCAAACAAATGTGGGTCAAACAGACCAAAACTAAAAAAATCAAGAAAAATCAAGGTTAAAGTTGAATCGCAAAAGTTCCAGCTTCAAAAAGGATATAATTTTAATGTACGAAAAAAAAGAATAAATCTGACAAAAAAAAAAAAATTCACATATTGTGGAGTAAGCTAAAATTTCGAGAATCACTTTACCACTTGTTTATCTTCTATTCTTATGTCTTAAAAATGTAGTTTAATTTTTTAAATGATTCCCAAGGTAATAGCTCACTAATTACTGGAAAACGATTTGACAAAATGTTGATGACAATTGGGACATTGCACCAAAGTATGATTTGATAGACCATACTTTCAGAGTTTCAAGTTCGTAATAGGAAAATAAAAATTTAATTTTAATTTTAAAAATGCTCAGTTCTCAAGAATCAGTGAAACCCAACTGATAACTGAAAATGTGACATTTTTTAATGGCAGTTTTTTTGTTCTGTTTTGTTTTTTTTCTACTATATTCTTCAAATATTAAGCCTTCACAGTGGATCCTAGCGTAATCAGTTATGTGCTGCAGAATCTTGAAAGCAACAGTGTGTACCGCGTGCAGCTGTCTGCATTTACAGCGGCTGGAGAAGGAGAGCGGAGTGATTTCAAACACTTTGTCACAAACCCACTAGGTAAACTCATATTTTTCATGAGATGATAATGTCTGTTATCGAGCTGGTATTCCAGGTTTATCTGTTCACGATGCACAGTAAATGTCTGGAGGTTTGTTTTTTAATTACATGGATTGAAATAGTCACATACGTACTGACTATATGGCTCATTCTGACAGAATTCACAGCTTTGAACAGCATTATAGCCGCGGTCGTTGTGGGAATAATAATTCTTTTACTAGCAGTTCACCTCAGCTGTCGACTTCTGCACAGGTAGAGACATGCATTTTATGTTCTGAATAATTGCCACTATATAATCGATCACTATCACTGCATGTGTGTTATCTAATATAGAGCTCACTGTGCATTTTTACAGAGCCAAGAAACTGCTGTGGCCGAATATACCAAATCCTGAGAACAGCAACGCTGTTCAGAAAATTGAAATTGCCTATGAACTGGTAAGCAAGAGACAATATAATGATGGAACCATACATTTCATTGTCAAGGAAAAGAATATACAAAAAATTATATGAAAAAATGAACTAATGAGACAGTACCAGAAGTACAATGATGACCTGAGATGGTAATACAATGGTTTATATGGTACGCCAAGGTACTTCACAGAATATCATTTTCTTACCATATGATTGTCAAAAAAGCATATTTGTTTGTTATTTGTTTTATTTTTTTTTTACAAATATTGGAAATCATTCATAATATCATTTCATGAACTTTCTCATAAAAACATGAAATTATCTGATGCTTTAAGAGACGTATTGAGCCATAAGGGTCTTTAGGGGTCTGCTCTTTGATATTATTTACTGTGTTTTTTTTTAATGCATGATTCTGCTTGTTGTTTGGATCACATGAGATTGATTTTGAAAACAGATATATTTCAAAAATTAATAAGCTGTGAAGGCTTGTTTGTTAAATTTTTTTTCCTAAGAATTAATACTTAAAGATTATGCCAAACTATTTTCAAGTATTTCATTGATTTAAACAAACCGGCTTTCTTCATTATATCAGGGCAGTTGTATCAACCTGAAATTTTTGACTTTATGAAACCCCAAAAAATATCAAAATGACTTAATACAACCATTAAAAACATGCACATCATAGAAGAAGTGTATCCAAGTAAGTATTTGTACGCTACCATTCAAATGTTTGCATCAAAAGTATCTTATGTTTACTAAAGCTGCATTCATTAGATATTGTGAGATATTATTACAATTTAAAATAACTGTTTTCTCTTTTATTATATTTGAATAAGTAATTTATTAATGTGATGACAAAGCTGAATTTTGCATTTTTTAAGTTTTTGAATAAATTACCATGAATCATACTGAATGATTACCATGTTCATATATCATGGTATTTATATGGTATCATGGTATTTACAAGGTATTGTAGTACCATAATATCAATAATAGTACTATCAAGGTACATGTCTAAAATAACACAGCATTACAATGGTACCATGCCAAGAAAGCCATGAACATCCCATGGACATTTTTTGTAAGAGTACATTTTTTACTCCATTCCAGTTCAGATGTTTGAACATATTTATGAGTGAAATCACTTTTTGAATCCTTTGGCCATTTTCTGCCATGTGTTTCTTCTGCAGGGTATCCTGGAGCTACTGAACAGACAGAGGTTAGAGGAAAGTGAGGGATGTGATTCCAGTACAGTGTGTGTCGTTGGGAGCAAGAGGGAGGCATCTCCTCTCTGTAGCCCTCCCACTGCTCAGGCTGGTGTGCCCACCACCCTTCTCCTCAGTGAAGATGAGGACAGCCCATCCATCCCAGAGCAGATCGCACCACCTGACACCCCAACACAAGTCCCCACCAACGAGTCAGGTTCCACAGAGACCTTCCCTATGGACTTTAATAAGACAGACTCCACTTTGAACACTTCTGTTGATGAAGAAATCACAACCTTTGTAAGCAAAGACCCTGGAGAGACCATCTCCAACAGGACAGGATCGGACTTCATTCCAACATCCCAACCTGAAGTGGTTTTCATGAGCGATTACACTACCATGGAAATCTTCCAGCAGGTCACTATGGCTGGGATTCAGGGTCCATCCATGCAAACAGTGAAACCTGGATTGGTTCCTGTACATCCAGGGCAGGATTATGTAAGGCAGTCCTATTTTTTACAAGAAACAGTCCAGTAATCCACCAGGGGCATGTAACGGAATTATTGAACCCAGAAATCACAGTGCTCTGAGATGCTTTTATACGGTGATTTAGAAAACATTTACTGTATAGACACAGTCCCTCTGGAGCACCCTGAGATTAGGAGCCTCATTTAAGGGTACAACGTTCATTGTCGTGTTGCTGACTGAGCTTTAACCGCTACTCAACACCTCCTATAAAAGATGGAATACGCCACTTGTATTGACAGTGAATTGGACCCAGGTCTCCGAATTCTACCTCTGAAGCACCAGTGCTCACGACAGAGTCCACTACATCAATTACATTAAATGAATTTTCAGATCTTTATATTGGTTAGCAGAGTTTTATTGTATAAAATGTTTATATATATATATATATATATAGTGGCTTTAACCATTATTGTACATGATCTGTACTGTATATACTATATTTTTATGTGAATGTACACTGTTACATTAAATATATTTAAAAAATATATAATGTGTGTGTTTGTATGTATGTATGTATACATGTGTGTTTATATGCAGGGGCGCAACTGCACATTTGCCGAGGGGTATGCAAGATCAGTGTTGGCACCCCTCTGTATTCTAGTAGCCCCTAACACTAACTCCAATGAATGACCAATGACCAAAAGCCCATTAACTGGCTTGTGCATGGAAGGATGCACACTCATCAGGAGTGAAAAAAAGGGGGGTGGGGGGGAGTGTGTCACATGGACCCCAGACAGTAGAACACACACACATATATAATATATTATATTATTATATTATATATATAATGTTATTCATTTGTCTAAAAGTTCTTCATATTTTTGCACATTTTTTATATAAAATGAGAACACTGTAAGTAAAATTGACTTTAAATTTGCATTTTTTTTTTTTTCATTTTTACTTATAGAGATCATTCAAATTTGCCATGCTAAATTGAAGATTTCTGCTAAGATTTCATTTGGTAGAAAAACTAATACTATTAAAATGAATGTCATGATTCCCACTATGACCACTAGATGGTAGCAGTGGATCATTTATTGTCTCATTTACCATTTCCACTTTGTAATATAGTTCTTTTCACATGTTTTGCTAATGGATTTATATTTAGACATTATAAAATCACAATTACAGCATTTAAAAAAATCTCCTGTTTGTCAAAATTCAGACAATGTTTGTATTGAAGTATGAAGTAGCAAGAGTTTTCAACTCATCGGATCTACTTGAATCACACAGATGGCCTATTTTGAATTAAAACCGCAATTTTCAGTGAAAAGTGGCTAGTTTAAATCCTTGTTTACAATCTTCTCAATTTCTCTCAAATGTAAATCAAATGCCCATTCACAAACCCATTTTTTTTTTTTTTTTTTGAGCAACAGAGATACTCCGAAATGAACTGATATTTGCCCTCTTAGGCAGTGGTGGAGCCAGGATGTTTTCATAGGGCTGACCAGGAAGGGGCCAGAAACCAGTCTGTGGTGGCACAGAAATCTTCATTATTTCAATATAGAAATGTATTTGACTATACTTGACTGTTTTAATGCCTAAAACACAACTGAATACAATTAATTTGTACATAATTGTAATTGAGAATTTGTGAAGTTGTGAATTAGACCAGGTAATACTGAGTGAATATGACAATTTTTGCATTATTTTTGTATTACCTCCAGTTATTTTAATAAAAGGGCTCACTCTAGCTTTATTGCTCAGTCAGCTGGTTCTGGGTCTCAACACCCCAAAAGCTTGTTCTCCATCATTGCACAGGCCTACTCAAGGATGAGACATGCAGATAGTTCAAAGTTTAGTCAACCTTCACTGAATTTTATATAATCAGAAATCACAAAAAAAAAACAGTCAATGTTTAACATTCTATTAGTTGTCAAAATTAATTAATTGCAACAGTTTGTCACACCTAAATCGAGCTCTGCACAAAGGAAAATAAAAAAAGTTCTCTTATTTATGATAAAGTGATGCACATCCTGATTTTGCCAAGTCCTAGTTGTCCTGAGACCAATATTTTTTATGATGACCCTAGGACAACTGCCTCAGCCAATCAAAGTTTATGACGTCATCCCTACGTGCCCCCCTGCAGAGTCCGCCAAAAAACAGTAACGCCCCTCTCGCAAAAAAAAACAGTGCACCTGCACAATTATACCAGTGAAGAGCGCAAGTAAAAAGGTAAGACCACAGCTTTTTAATTTCTCCTATTAATTTATAGCAGTATATGAATGATAGTAAAATTCATAGGGCTTTGTTTTTAGATTTGCGTTTTTTCCACCACCGACGTTTTAACATTAGTTTGCATTGGCAAGATAGCCTAAATAGCTGTTCCTACCAGTCTATACTGATGTACTGTTAACTTTCTGGCTCCAGATAAAACAATCTAATAAGTATTTGAAATTGATTTTTTATAGCTATAAAAGGGCTGCGATTAAACAGTGGCCGTTTGCGAGCTTATTTTCTGCCGGTTTATTAGCGCTCACACTGCTGCCACCGCAAATTTTCCTAATATTTCTGTCGTTAGCATATAAGTTACTGTGCCACTGCCAATTTCTGTTGCGTCGCGTCCAGTTGCATTCAAAGACAAACGCCCGAAATGCGGAACAAAACAGCGCTAGTTTGCGCACCGCACGGACCAATCAGCTTGGTCAGTATTTGAGACGCTACTGCGATTCGCTGCGAGATCCAGGTAGAAGCGATTGAATTAGATTATTTATTCTGTTACATATGAATATGATGACCTTCAAGTCATCACTGATTTATTCTGTTACATATGAATATGATGACATCAAGTCATAACTGATTTATTCTGTTACATATGAATATGATGACCTTCAAGTCAT